TAGAGGAAGTGAGAAATAAGCATTGTATTCTCTCCCAGAATAGTTCTTTAAAATGGGAGAGAGAGAGAAAGAGAGAGAGAGAGAGAGATTTTGGCTGCTGAGGTAAATAAAGCTTCAAAAGAAGTAAATTTTTGTATTGTAGCAGGGACAGCTCTGTTTCTGGAGCAAATTGCTCTCTTCTGACCCCCTTTCTGCCACGTGCCTCATTTTGCACCAACCTCCAGTTCCAAGTCCTGTGAATTCAGACAAAACAGTTATAGCCATTCTGCCAGTGCTGGCCTGGATTATGAATTGGCATTCCTTTTGCTGTACAAGTCTCTTACCTGGAAGTGCTTCATTTTCAGACAGTGGAGGGAAAGGATCTAACCGGAATGGCTGAAAGACTGAAAACCAACAGCGGAAAACTGTTAAACAAAGCACGAGCAACACAGAAGACATTGCAAGGTATCATCAGCACACCATATATTGCAAGCATTACAAAACGTGATAAAAAGCTTTAGATTTTCACACTCTACTGTTGCTCCAGACTTGACCTTGTTAGAGGCTAAGTTAAAAAATGGTTACCACCTCAGTTTTTGCTGAAACCCAAGTCTGAAATTGGCAGTTTTCACATCATCCTAGATCACAGTCACTACATCTGATAAAAGAGTAGTTAGTAATGAAAGTGCTTTTCTCTGTTTTAAGATGGTCTTTCAATAGGATTAGTTTCAGAGAAACAGGTCTTACAAAACTCGAGCGAGTAAAAGCTGTGTGTGAGAGAAGGGAGGCTGCAGAATCCAGTGGTTTCTACCCCCTACACCAGTGTTTTTCAACCTTGGCAACTTTAAGAACCGTGGACTTAGAAACTCTCAGAATTTCCCAGCCAGCATGAGGAATTCTGGGAACTGAAGTCCACACATCTTAAAATTGCCAAGATTGAAAAACACTACTCTACATACTTGGATGCAATATTGTGATTCATCTGCAAAAAAGGGCAACGTTTGTATCACAATGTTGCAATACACATTTTGTAATTTGTCCCTGTGTAGATGCCCATACAAGTGAGGACTTTAGAAATGATCACGTAAATTGGTTCAGAGCCTTTCCCAACAATGATTTGCAATTACTGGTAGCCAATGGGAGGAATCCAGTTCAAACAAACCTTTTAATAAAATATAAAGATTTCAGATATTGACTTGTAAAAAAAGGAAATGATTCAAGGTGTTTGAAGAATTAGAGGAATCTGAACTGTGTGGCAAATATGCTTCTATCCATTAGCATAACTTCTGAGTGTTTGTGTGTATACACATACATACACACACACACACATATATACAGCTGATATTCTATGACTGAAGTCAAGAATGGGGAACCCTTAGCGATAATATGGCAGAGACAGCCTGCCCCAGTAGAGTACTCCTCTTCTGTCTCCTCAGATGGTTCCTATCCTTACTCTATTTGGGCCACTGCCTTTACCCCAATTTTACTCCTTCCTAGGCACCCACATGAAATTAGGTGAAGAACTGTGGATAGTCTACTCCTGTTAGGCAAGTAGCACCCCTATCTCTTTTGGGGTTCAATAATGCACAATATAAAACAAAATTAAACATACCTTTATCCCTCCTCAATCCTCAGCTCACTGTAAATAAACACAAAACCTAATTTGCTGCTTTCTTCTACGTTTAAGTCTCAGTATCTTTTGATCTTATGCAAATCTATTTTCAAAAACTATTCCTGCCCTGTGGAATATCCTCCCTCCCACATCTGGCAGGCCCCCACTCTTCTAGACTTCCAGAAGGCCTTAAACAGCTGGTTCTTCTGCCAAGCGTTGGGCTAGGGTAAGGTTGGAACCCAGTGACTGTGAATGTTTATGTGTGGGGGAGTGTTGTTTTGGGATGCCAGTTTTGATGTTGGCTTTACTGTTTCATTTTTACTGCTGTTGTTGTGAGTCACCCATGGTTATTGTATATAAGATGGGCAGCCATCTAAGTCTTTTAAATCAATAAATATTTTTTCTATTTATAATGGTTTTATAATGTTCACATGTTTAATGCAGATTTCTAGATGTTTAAAGTAAAGCCAGTCCTTATAAAAACCAAAGTCATATTTAAATGCAGCCAAATTTGCCTAATGGGGTTACACTGAAAATGAATTTGGCTGTGATGGGTTCATTGTGTGGCCACCTGGGAGAAAGAGAGACTAAAGCAAAGAAACCTCATCAGAAAGCAATGAGTTATAGGAGCGTGAATAGTAAAACTACTATCGGTAGTAAAATGAGGGCAATCCACAATTATCAGGATGATTTATAGTGGATTATTTTATAGAACTCAGTCCAACACTTGATGATATGAGGAGCAAACTTCGGGAAGCTGAACGGAAAAAAACTGCAATACAGGGAGATCTTAGTGCCTCCCAAAATAACCTCCAGGGGATAAACAGAGGTAAGTAATACAATGTGGGGTTTAACTAATATATATTTTATTGGATTTATTGTGTCAATTAATTTTTTTTAAAAAGCTAAGTGGAAGGGAAAGAAAAGAAACAAGAAACATGATTGTATAAAAATTACATACTCACTTAGAATAGTGTAAAACCTAAGCCCCATGTATTTCGACAGAGAACATTTTACATTTTATTGTATCTTAAAAGAAAAATAAATGTTTCCTGAATTTATATACCACTTTATCTGCCTGCTAGATGACACAGAGAGCATAATCACAACTGCAAATACCATGATTAAGAATGCCAACAATATTACTACTAATATACTCAGTGAACTGGACCCAATTAAAGCTGAAGTTGAGAATATAAAGCACACCTATGAAATGGTACAGATTACTGATTTCAACAAGGCTTTGAAAGAAGCAAGCAGTTCAGGTAGGCTTTTTTTCTCCTATAAGGATTTCTTAATCAATTTTTAAGTTAATGTAATTTCTTATGGTGCCTTTTCTGAAAATGGTCAATTGTTGAAACTCCTGTTCATTCATCACTTAGCAGACACATCCTGTGAGTGTTATGGGACTAAACATTGTGGGGAATTTCCTGGAAAAGTCAAAACCCAAAATATTTTAGGTCCTCTATCTAGAATAATCTTGTCCAAGATGTATAGTACAGTGGTACCTCGGGATACGAACGCCTCTACTAACGAACATTTCGGGTTACGACCAGCTTCGGCAGGAAAAATTTA